TCACAGCAACGAAACAAATGACTGATATTTTAATGTTACCTTGTATTTAATTTTTTGTTCTTTCGAGAAACCTAGATTACTTATAAGTACCGTACCGTACAAAATTATTGGCTCGGAGACTCTTTCATCTGATCAAAATTTCTAATCAGATCTTTCAGAAAAATTTTGAAAATGTAGCTTTTGAGCCAATTAGTAAAGTGCAAGTCTGAAGTTACCAGAAAATTTCTTTGATTTTTTACAATTATTTATTTTTTGCTGACAGTGTCTTCCACATATAAAAAAATGTGGAACGTAGTTTGTATGGAAGAAACTCTCAGTAAAAACAATACCAAAAATCAACTAAATTCTTGTGGGCTGCAAAACTTCATTTTCAAAATTTTTATAAAAAAGTCTGAATAGAAAGTTGCGAATTTGTATGCAAAATTATTGCATTTTCCCGAGTTTTGCACAAAGTTAGTGATTTTTATTTTTATGTTTTCTGATGTATTTAGTATAAACTGTATTTTTATAAGGAACAAAAAAGGTACATGCATTGTGGAAAATTCTCTGTACTTTAGTTGTGATAAATTGTTTTGTTTTGCTGGCGTACGTTGTAATGATCTCATCATCTCATGTTTTTATGTTTTTTTTTGTCAAAATAAAATTTTACTACATCCTTTCGTACGTAATTTTTGTCGAAACGAAATGGAAGGGAGGCCTCTCCCCCCTTAAGTGTCCCGGTTTGGCAACAGAGATATCTGGCAGCCCTATATATAACTCAACAACTAGGTATTTATTGAACTAATGAAATAAATTTTGAGGTCAATACTGTTACGTTACCTGTGCGATATACATACGTGTAAATTATAATTACGTTTTTAAATGGCTTGCAGTCTGTTTTATGCAAAAAGTATCATGAATTCAGTAGACTTGCGATTTGAAATATAATCAAAAGAAATTAAGAACATGATAATTATGAATACAGATTTGAATTTTTCTGTTGCTGTGCAGCTGTAGGTGGTTTAGAAGTAATTTTGTGCGTAGAATTCGATATCGATCTTAGAACTGCGCCAAGATATTGAGGTTTTTCGCGGTTAAGTACACGAAAAACGGCTTTAATGGCCACTTTTGTTTGCTCTATGCCATTTAGTGACGTAATGAGTTAGAAAGCATATGCTTGATTTGGCGATGTTATATTCGAGGACACGGTAGTTCAAGTGGTCGTAACTCTTGAAGGAAAATTCTTATAGCACTATTCAAGAGTGCATTTTGAAGGATAATAATAGTACTGGAAAAAGACTTGAAATAATTCCAATCGATTTTTACTATTTAATTAGAAAATCTTCTTATTTTAACTTCTTAGTTCGCATCTTTTGGCCTCGTTCCTTCTTCAAATAGTATAATTCATGCATTTTTTTTCTACGTAATTTTTATTTTCTGAGCCTATTTGAGTTAGAAAGAATATAAATCTTAACTATGGGTCAATAGCACGTTAAATAGCGTACAATGTTGCTTTCAAACGAGCCCTATCTCTAACTAAATAAAAAATAAATTTACCTGAAAATTCAATTAGTAAAAAAGACTTGCGCTATGCTGGATTTCCACTAGGCATTAAATGGCACAGTTGGGTATTAAAAAATATTCGTATCATTACGTTAAAAAAATTGTCATTAAGTTCATTTCCATATGGCATTTTTTTAAATGGCTTATATTTTTATTATTACATCCCTTTTATTAGCTCGGGATGTAACTATGTATGTAATATTGATGCCCCTAAAAGATGCAGCGATTTCTGTTCTCAAGTTACATACCTGATGACAGTACGAATGGAAATTATAATAGAGGTTTTAGTTTTTTAAACTATAATTTTATTTATCATTTCAATGCCTAGTGGAAATTCGCATTGCATATAGTTTTGCACCGAAAACACATGGATAATGAAGAGTATAGGAAACTGCTTTATTTTATTGTGAATAAGGCCGAAAATGCTCGAAAAAACCATATTTTTCCATTGTTGAGCCTGGTGGATTCCGCGCCAAAACCTTGATGATATTTTGGACATTACACTAAAAAATGCTGCCGACTTTATTTTCTTTAAGAAAGTTAGTCACTGATTATTTTGTCGAATACTTTTTTATTAACTTCAAAGTAATACAAGGCAATCGGAGAAAAGCAAGTATAATGAAAAAATGGTGGCCCATAAATATAAAAAAACCCTTAATTTCTTGTTGTGCTTTTTTATTTTTCATTAATTTAAAGGTGCCTCAAAATTAAGTGAATATTCATGTTTGAGAGAAGAGATTCATGTTAACGTTTATTTTGTCTGATACCTCAGAATATACATGACCCAGATAAAATCAAAAAAAAAGTTTTTCCCCCCGGTCTCGTTTTTGGCGAACTGGGCCATATGCTTTTAAATTAATACAATTTATATATAGGGGCCCGTGATTTTTTAGTCCCGGGCCCGAGTTTTCTCTCGGCGGCCTTGAGAATGTGCAAGAGTAATGATCAGGGAACGGATTTTATGGAAATGGCCTTTTTTCTGCTAACGAGATAGAGTATATTCGATTGAGAATGTTAACGATTTAGCTTTCCCTGATTCCATATATACACGTTTGCGGTTGCCCATTTTGAGATATTTGCCTTTTCTACTTTGAAAAAAGTGATTACAGCGAGGAAAAAGCCCTTATTCCTGATAATAGGAGGGCACTGCGTTCTCGTACCCAAAAAACTTGCAAAGTAGGGGAAATTGAGAGAGCAAAATGTGATAGAGAGCTGCAAATTTCTGCTGGAAAAATTTTTACCAGCGAAAACTTGCAAGTAAAAAAATCGGCTGATCACAAGAACATGTTTGTAAACAAACAAAAGAAAATGTGGCCTTTTAGAGTTATTTATTGCAAATTTTATTATTAACGCTAGTATACAACGAAAAAAGTGACTAAATTTATTAAGCGCAACGTTTGTTGAGTTTATTTTTCGTTTATTTACTATTAATCTCCAGTTTTTTTACTTTAGTGTGTGCTGACTATGGTTACCGTATGACATTTTTCGTTTTTACCATAATTTTTCTTCAAATATACCAAAATAGATTAATATGCAGCATGCTGAAGTGTTTTTTGCTGTTGTCGGTTTTGGTAGGTTGATTGTTGATATGAACATTTTATAATTTTAAAACTAAATTTGTAGCTACATATATCTCTTAAATTCTATTTGGATCAATGAAGGGTGTTTGGAGGAGATTCTCTTGTTTTTGAATGCGTCACCATGCAAGAATGATAGAATACAAGATTGCGCCGATTGCAGCAGAATTCGTGAGAATAATTTTGGCGTGATGTCACCGTAGATTTGACAACTGAGAGCGGCAAATAAAACTTCTGTCTAGGGATGTGCTGAGTTGTTGGTACCCAATACTTAAAAAAGGTTTCGGTACCCAATACTTCCTTATCGGTACCCGATACTGATTATTCACATTAAACCTTCGCCATTATATGCATTTCAAGTTTAGAAAAAACTTTGATTACTAATTTATATGATATCGGCTAAAATACTTGAACTTATCGCAACAAATATTATTGTATCAGTTTTAACCCTAGTCGATGGAAGGTACAAGAATCGATCGAAAGAAGAACGCCTCAGGGGGGAGATTCTGTAACCAGTTAGCGACAAGTTTCGGATCGATATCGCACTTGTTGACGTAAAAATATTTCATATCATACGTCAACAAAACCGATACCGATTCGAAAATTGTCGCTAACTGGTTACAGAATCTGCCTACAAAAATGATATCGTCCGATTCAGCTGGAACAAAAACGCTTCAAACAAGTAAGAGTTTCTCTGTATTATGGCCTCGAACCGACATATATACATCTTTCATTTGAATCAGTATTAAAAGCTCTATTGGTTCCTACATTCGGGCTTTGATTGGCGAGTCTCACCTAAACCGTTTTTTTCCATATTTTTGGCCTATGTGCGCTTTTATTCGAAACCTAAATGTTTCGGTACCGAGTATCGAGAGTAATGGATACTCGGTACCGAATACCTTTAGACTCAGCACATCACTACTGCTGTCATCTCGACTGGGACGTCAGCAAAACAGCTGATTCTGTCAAATTCACTGAGAGCCGATTAGCGGTATTGCCATCGGCGCCACCTTCTGTATTCTCTCCACCGTGCCATTACTCTCGATACTCGGTACCGAAACATTTAGGTTTCGGATAAAAGCGCCAAAAATGTGGAAAAACCGGTTCGGTTCGGATCAAACATTTGTGGAAAATTTCGATTCGGTTAATGGTTCAGTTAATTAATAAAAAAAGCGGTTTTCCGGTTTAAAACCGGTTCGGTTCAAAACCGGTTCACGTCCCTGATAATTAACTTGTATTTTAAAAAGGTTTTTCTTATCCTATTCAATTGTATAAAATGCTAAATCGGGGGAAAATGTAACATGCAGAAATTTAATTGCCAAATGAACCACCAGTGGCAACTGTGGAAGTGATTAGCTGTTTCGAAGTTTTTGCAAATTTTGCGTTCTCGTACTTCTGTGGATATTTTGCCTCTTTGAGAGCGAATGCTGCTAAATTCTCTGATCTTTTTCTGCTGGATAATTTTGTCCGCTAAATACGAGTACACACCTAATATGAAACTTTCAAACATTCCATATTTAAATTAGACGATCTAGAGTCCAACGCCTAAGGAGCCCGTTACGCCCATTTGGGTACTTAAAGTTGACATTATAGACAATGTTTTTATGTAAACAAAAAATTTTTATAAAATGCTTTAATCAAAAAAAAAAAATCAAAAAGTAAAATGTTTACTTTATTTTTTTTTGTTTATTATGCGTTGCCCATAATAAGACGGAAGAAATACATTTTTTTTTTTTCATTAAGTTTCGTTAAAAGGTTTCCAAGATACTGCACTTTAAAGAAAGAATTTAAGTCCCGTGTATACATGCAACCCTAATTCTGCAAAATATGCTGCACGTATATATATTCATGTCACCTAGACCTTTAATCCCTTCAACTTACATCCAAATTCTTAGAGGTCGCGCACAGAGGTGGCCGCGGTTAAATGAAATGCCTCTATATTTACATTATCTATCTTCTCTTCTATCTTTATTATTAATGCACAGTATTTAACTTATTTGTCATTAAATTCTTTGCAGTTTCACTAGCAAATTTTCATATAAAAAGAGCACTTAACACTTATATTTTGATAAATATACGATATTTGCAATCTTCACGTGTATTTTGTATACATTAAATGTATTTTATTTTATTTTTAACAAAATAAAACGCGTTTAATAATTTCACAACTTTTTCTTCAACAAAGGAAACAAGAAAGCAAGCAAAAAAAATCAAAATGGCTTTAATGGTGAATAGAAAGGTACTACCAGATGTTCGAAAATGAATTGACGGAATATTCAACAATCTACTTCTGTTTCATAATGATCTCGATAACATTAGGGAATAAATGAGTATGTATGTCTGCGGCGCTATAAAAAAATCAATACTTCGATAAATAATGATTTTATATAAATCGATTTTAATTTTTTTTTAATCAATACTTCGATAAATAATCGCGCGATCTTTTATTGAAAATTTTCGCCTGCGGCGCTTTTTTCATAAAAATCTATATTTCGATAAATAATGAAAATTTTTAATAAAAAATCGCGCGAATCGCGAAAATTTTCGCCTGCGTCGCTTTCAAAAAACAATACTTCTATAAATAATGAAAGTTTTTTATGAAAAATTGCGCCATTTTTTATTAAAAATTTTCGTCTGCGGCATTTTTTTTTAAAATCGATATTTCGATAAATAATGAACATTTTTGTTTAAATCAATGCTCCTTGTTTTTATTCAATGCAGTATTTCAATATAAAGTGAAAATCTTCAATAAAAATCTTTCGACTTTTTTTTACTATTCTCATCATCTGGCAGCACCAACATCTGTGTTAATTTCCAACACTTCCATGTAAACAATGAAATTTGTATGGTAAATTGTGCAACTTTTAAAGTTAATAAGTTTTTAAATAGAAGGTCCTCTACACGCCCTCATATTTGTTTTTTTTTTTAATTTGGACCGAATTTAACGAAAATTTTAATTTTTTTTAGCTTTCAGTAATATCGAAGTGGTACGTAAGTGCTCCTCCATTATTTGGTTTCATATTGATGCTGTATGTCTTACACACCGCGGATATTCCTACAAACGACCGCCTGATAATGTCCACTTTGTCGATGAAACTGACATAATCAGTCGCTCCAAGTGTCCTCTACAAGCAACTGCGCTCCTAGGCAATCATATGGAAGCTGTTTCCAATTGGCTCACAAGCTGGCGAATAAAGGTTAACGATCAAAAACGTAAGCAAGTTACATTTACACTGAATAAGAGTAACTGTCTGTCGTTGACTTTGAACAACGTACAAATACCACAAAGCAATCATGTCACATACCTAAGGATCCATCTGGACAGGCGACTTACTTGGCGAAACCACATAGTGGCTAAAAGGACTCATCTCAAGCTGAAGGCTAATTCTCTCCACTGGCTTATTAACTCTCGCTCACGCCTGAGTCTGGAGTATAAAGTGCTTATTTACAATACAGTTTTAAAACCGATATGAACCTATGGATGTGAGTTATGGGGAAACGCGAGCAGCAGCAACATCGAAATCCTTTGTCTTGCGCAATCTAAAATCCTTCGAACAATCACCGGAGCACCTTGGTATCCGGAATGAGAGCATCCACCGCGACTTAAGAATACCAGAAGTACGAACCGAAATAGAACAACGGCAGACGAAATATGTATCGAAGCTTTTAGTGCACCTAAATTATTTAGCAAGATCTTTATTGCGTGTCAACAGGACCTCAAGACTACGTAGGAATGACTTACCAGCCCAGTCGTAATCTTTTCTTAGGGCCAGTTAAGAAAATACTCATCCCAACTAGGGGATGTAAATTAAGTGAATAGATTAAGATTCGAAAACTTATTGTTAGGCTCTTAGGCAGGGCAGATTCAATAAATAAAAANATGAACCTATGGATGTGAGTTATGGGGAAACGCGAGCAGCAGCAACATCGAAATCCTTTGTCTTGCGCAATCTAAAATCCTTCGAACAATCACCGGAGCAAAAACTTTAATTTATAATTTATATGATATCGGCTAAAATACTTGAACTTATCGCAACAAATATTATTGTATCAGTTTTAACCCTAGTCGATCGAAGGTACAAGAAAAATACTTTGACGGATGAAGAAGCCTTTCAGGGGGGAGATTCTGNTGTAAATTAAGTGAATAGATTAAGATTCGAAAGCTTATTGTTAGGCTCTTAGGCAGGGCAGATTCAATAAATAAAAATAAAAAGTTAAAAAAAGGTATGGATTCGGATACCTTCCTCATTGAAGTCTACCGGATATCCGATCGGATATCCGAATCCGGCTCTTACATTTTACAGGATATCCGGAATCCGGTTATCCGGCAAATCTCTATCCGGCACACCACTGATATATATGTATAATATAAATGTCTATGATCTTAAATTTGCATACTCAGCAAATCATATCAGCATGTACTTACATACGTATGCATGTGTATTTATGTGTGCATGCATATATATATAATTTGAGCGCGTATCGCATTAAAACATGCATACATATTAAGTAAATACGCGAGTACCCTATTTCATCTACATATGTATGTATGTGCTAGGGATGTTAATTTTTTCGGAGTTTGTAATCCTGAGATTTTCGGGATGCCGTTGATTCAATTTCGGGGCTCGGGATCAGTCCCGGGATTTAGATATTTATTATTTTTCAATGACTTAACATGAAAAAGTTGCATCAATATGGTTTGAGTAGCTCTCCTACCATATAATAAATAATAAGAAAATGGGTTTGGAACGTACTTTTTATTTAAAGTGAAAATCATTTCATAAGTAACAAAACGACATACAGTAATTAAATTTATATGCATTTAATAATACTTTAGTGTGTACATAAGCATAAAGCAAAGAAATCAAAACTGAACAGAATGTCAAAACGGTGAAACAACTACTCACTTGCAAGTTTTTACTAGTTTTGTGTTCAATAACTTTTTCTGCTAGTTTTCGCTTTTCTTCAATTTCACGTTCTATTTTGCTTTTACGCTCTCAATTTCTTTATTAAAAAAAGCATGAATAAATTATTGCATTTGTGAGATTGCAATTAAAATGTTTGATTGAGTCAGTGATTTGATTGCAATCACAATTATTGCAATCAAATGTGCTTACAATTAAATTGATTGTAGTTATTGCAAAAAAAATATGCAAAAAATTTATTTTCTGGTTGAAAAAGTTTATAATTTTAATGGCAGAAATAAAAGAAGCGCCTTAATTCGACCAGTTTTGTCTATATTCCTTTATATTCCTTTTTATTGTTTATCCAAAATTTACATTTTTTTATAAGAGTCTACTTCATATTACACACAATTCACTGCATATGTATAAATGGGCATTTCTCTGACGTCATGATTTTTTTTAAAAAGACTATCGTAACGTAAGCGACATTTTTTTCAAAATTTTCTTTTTGATGCAGAAATATTCCTAGAGCATCTAGATGCATTTCTGCATCAAAAGGAAAATTTTGGAAAAAATATCGCTTACGTTTTTTTAGCGGTTAGGGCTCGCTATAATTTCCAATATATGGTTAATTCCAAAATTTATTTAAAAAAATTCAGTGCAATGTAAAACAAAAGTATGGGTACCAAATGAAATAATATTTTTGGGTTCACAAGGACGAAAAAGAAACCAAAATGCCCCTTTAATCTATTTTATTTTTTTAAGCTAATAAAATTAGTCCTTAACATATAATTTTTTTCAAAATAAGAATTGAAAAAATTCATGTATATTCAAGGACAAAATTATAAAGCGGTTTTTTCAATACTCCTTTACGGACCAAAAAATGTAATGTGTTTTAACTCTACAGAATCTTCCCTTTCATTTGATACCCCTACTGGTTTCTTAGGTATATTGCATTGAAATTTTTAAATCATTTTTTGAATTACTCATATCTTTCAAATCTCAAAGTTCTTTTTAAAAATCCTGGCGTCAGAGAGAAAAATCAAGAACGCAATTTTACTATATTTGGCCCTTGGTTTGGCGAATATATTGATTTTTTTGTGTGTGCGAAATTGCCTGCCGCTAGCTATTATATGCACATTAATAAAAACAATATTAAATTAACAAAAGAAATATAGCCAAAACTGATCCACATAAAGCGTTTATATTACTGACACCAGTGTAAACTACAAATCCCGAAAATCCCGGGATTCTAGACAAATAATCCCGGGATTTTCGTGACTTGTAAAAGAACGGGATCCCGGGATTAACATTCCTCGTATGTGCGTTGTATAAGATTATTTAATAAAGAAAATATGTATGCACCCTGCAGGGAAACCGCGAACTAATGAATCAAATTTTTAGTTGCGTACTAGATCTTTACCTCCAAAAACGAAGTAGTAGTAACTAGATCCCCACCAGTTCAAAATCAGCGAAATGTGGTACTTTAAAAAAAACTATTTCATTTCACTTTTTTCATTAGAAATCCTTATATAAGGTGACGAGTTTAGAACTGGTTTGGAACTATAGAAAAAGGGATGCAGAACGAATTAGATCTTATCTGTCGAACTCGGAACTAGTTCGGAACAATATAAAAAGTGATACAGCGGGGGTTGTTTTCTTTACATATGTATGTAGATATGTGGTTGGCGACTTTTCGTTCAAATACGTTTCCATTCTGAACTTCTGCTTTTTCATAGTAATACAAAACAAAAATTTGTGTTAACATTTTAACATCTTGGGACCCTCTGCAATCCAATCAATAACAGAAAGCACCTCTGCAAGCTTAGCTACAGCGAAAGGAATGTAAACATACATTTCTTACAATCATTAAAAAAAATTTAATTTCAAATTGAAAACAGCATTATTTGAAAATAATTTAAATTCACACACACGGAAGAACCGAAAAGATTGAAAAATCAACACACCTTTTTCTTTCGTCTGTCGATTTTATAACTGGTTGAGAACTATAGAATTTCGGACTAGTTCGGAACTATCGGAAA